CTTTCTTACCATATTGCCTTTACCATGGTCTACCTCCCAGGTTGGGTAGTTGGTTCGATCATCATCGCGCGCGGAGTCTGGGCGAATACGAGTGTCGCCATTGTGCTCATCTACTTTATCCTAACCGGTCTCGCTTTGTCATCGATTTCCATCTTAGGCGCTGCTTTCTTCAAGAAATCGCAACTGTCAGGTGTTGTGACGACGATAGCGTATATTCTACTAGCAATCCTAGCCCAGACGTTGACATCGCCTAGTACTGCTACAGTCACTGCTTTAAGTCTGCTTTTCGTACGTGTCCCTCGTAAATGCCCGCTTTCCTGCGTTCCACTACTTACCTAGGTGGTCTTGGGAGTCAATGCTTTGTAGCTATGCCTGCTATAGGCTGTAGGCTCCCGAGATATGTCGTCTCCTTGTGATACCCTGGCCATTATTCGAGTGAATTAATAACTAATAATTCTCTACCATTATAGACGCCTTGTAACTTTGTTTGGTTCATGACTTTCATAGCGAGATGGGAAAGGTATTCATTTCCCGCAGACCTAATACATACACCACCAGATAATCCATGGGACTTGCCGGGTATTGTTTTCTGGGTATTTCTTATTATTCAAATCATTGTATATCCCATCATTGGCGCTTATCTGGAGCGCGTGTTTCATGGTACAACTACCAAGGGTCGCACTATTCTCCAAGGCCGAACTGCTGAAACGGCACCCTCTGATGCCGTTCGCCTCGAAGGCTTTACGAAGATATATCACCCTAACCCCCTAAGTCGATTCCTCCCGTTCAGTTCAACGCCGAGAGAACCAGTTGTAGCCGTCGATAAATTGACCCTCACTGCGAGACGGGGACAAATCTTGGCTCTACTCGGCGCCAATGGCAGCGGGAAGAGCACAACGCTCGACTCTATTGCCGGTATCAGCAAGTTGACGAGTGGTGATATCACGATAGATGGTACGGGAGGGTTAGGCATTGCACCACAAAAGAATGTCTTATGGGATGAATTGACGGTCGAAGAGCACATTAGGGTCTTCAATCGACTAAAATCTCCCAAGAAAACGGCATCTACAAAAGAGATACACGACTTAGTAGAGGCTGTGGATCTTGGACCAAAAGTTAAGGCCATGTCTAAGACTTTATCGGGTGGCCAGAAGCGAAAACTACAGCTTGGAATGATGTTGACTGGAGGAAGTGCGGTCTGCTGTGTTGACGAGGTCTCCTCCGGAATTGACCCGCTTTCTCGACGCAAAATTTGGGATATTCTTCTAGCTGAACGCGGAAGACGAACAATCATTCTTACGACGCATTTCCTTGACGAGGCCGATCTCCTTGCAGATCACATCGCCATCCTCTCTAAGGGAACGCTCCGAGCCCAGGGATCTTCTGTCGAACTTAAAGACAGGCTAGGTGCTGGGTATCGAGTTCATGTTTTCAACGCTAGGGATATTAAAAATCCTCCAGAAGTTGAAAATGTCACTCGCGAGATAGGCTTCGATGTGATCAGTTATATCGCATCGTCCTCCAGCCTTGCTGCACAAGTCATACGCTCCCTTGAGGCCGCAGGAATTCATGATTACAAGTTCTCCAACCCAACCATCGAAGACGTTTTCCTACAAGTGGCCGAAGAAGTTAGAGGCGAAAGTGCTATCAGATCGGCGGAGATCCCATCCTCTATCGAAGGTGGTAATGGCAAGCAGACGAATTCCGAGGAAGCTGTCGGAACTAACGAGCTCGAGAAGGATGGGCTAGAGCTGCTGTCAGGACAACCTATAGGCTACATGAGACAAGCGGTAGTGCTATTCATGAAGCGATGCACCATCTTCAAAACAAACTGGTTTCCATCCGTGGCAGCTTTCCTGATCCCGATCGTAGCCGCGGCTTTGGTATCTCTCTACGTCACAGATCAACACCCAGTCGGGTGTAGTCCAGCAAACCAGTCTTCGGTTGACACCTCAGATACTTCGAATCTCTATAACAATCTCTATCTAGTCGCTGGGCCATCTTCACAATTCAGCAATGCTACTTTGGAAAGGCTTTTCGCTCCTACGCTCTCGGGGATGACCCAAAACCCATCCGGATCTGACAACGCAACTGCAGGCGCAGCTGCATCAGGAGCCGCGCTCCTTGAGAGCCTACACCTTGTCAATTCTCTAGACGAGTTTAATACTTTCGTCCGACAGAGGCGGAAGGACATCAAGCCTGCTGGGTGGTGGCTTGGAGATGCTAATTCTCTACCTACCATTACATATGAAGCAGATTTCGGAGATGTCTATACCTCGGTCTTTGGGCAGAACGCTTTAGATACCATGCTGATCAACACCAGCATCTCTGCGAGCTATTCATCGTTCGATACGCCCTGGGCGCCGTCGACTGGAGATTCTCTTCAGCTGCTGATCTATTTTTGTCTGGCTCTTTCCGTATATCCCGCCTTCTTCGGTCTCTATCCGAATCTTGAGAGACGGCGGAATGTCCGTGGATTACAATACTCGAACGGTGTCCGTTCCTTCCCGCTTTGGATTTCCTATACGGCGTTCGACTTTGCAATTGTCATCGTCTCCTCCGCAATCGCCACCGCCGTGTTTGCAGGGATGTCGGATGTGTGGTACCATGTTGCCTACCTCTTTCTCGTGTTTATGCTATACGGGCTGGCATCGATCTTGTTCTCTTATGTCGTCTCGCTCTTCTGCGGCAATCAGTTGTCGACCTATGCCTTCTCCGCAGCCGGCCAGGCTGTCGGCTTCCTAATCTACTTGATCGCATACTTGTGCGTCATCACGTATGCGCCGGTCAACCGTATCGACCAGTCTATAATTATCGCCCACTTCGTGATTTCGGTATTCGTGCCTATCGGGTCGATCGTACGGACAATGTTCGTTACCCTCAACCTCTTCTCCGTGACCTGCGACGGAGATCTGATCCAGCCAAACCCCGGCGCCCTGACGGCTTACGGTGGTCCAATTCTTTATTTGATCGTGCAATCGGTGCTCTACTTTTGCTTCCTTCTGTGGCATGATAGCGGATCCGGAAGCTCTTTTCTCAACCGCTTCATGAAGAAGGCTCCTACGCCTTCCAAAGATTCGGCTGCCTCGGATGAAGAAGTCGCCAATGAACTCGTCCGCGTGACTAGCACACCACACGACACCGACGGCCTCCGAGTGTTGCACTTAAGCAAGTCGTTCGGCAAAAACACCGCTGTTGACAACGTTACGTTCGGTGTCCAACATAGCGAGGTCTTTGCATTATTAGGACCCAACGGCGCCGGCAAGTCCACGACCATCTCCTTGATCCGCGGCGACATCCAGCCTAGCCGCAACGGAGGCGACGTCCTCGTCGAGAACACATCCGTCAGCCGGCGCCGCGCCGAGGCGCGAGCGCACCTGGGCGTGTGTCCGCAATTCGACGCGATCGACTCGATGACGGTGCTGGAGCACCTGCGCTTCTACGCGCGCATCCGCGGGATCCCGGACATCGAGCACAACGTCAAGGCGGTGCTGCGGGCGGTGGGGCTCGAGGCCTTCTCGACGCGCATGGCGCAGGCGCTGTCGGGCGGCAACAAGCGCAAGCTGTCGCTCGGGATCGCGCTCATGGGCAACCCCAGCGTGGTGCTCCTGGACGAGCCGTCGTCCGGGCTCGACGCGGCCGCCAAGCGCGTCATGTGGCGCACGCTGCACGCCATCGCGCCCGGCCGGTCCATCCTGCTGACGACGCACAGCATGGAGGAGGCGGACGCGCTCGCCAGCCGCGCGGGCATCATCGCGAAGCGCATGCTGGCCGCCGGGTCCACCGACGACCTGCGCCGCCGCTTCGGCGACGCCCTGCACGTCCACCTCGCCAGCACGTCCGCGCCGCACTCCTCGCCCGAGGAGATGGCCCGCATCCGCGCTTGGGTCCTGGCCACCTGGCCCGACGCCGACGTCGAACAGAAGACCTACCACGGCCAGATGCGGTTTTCCGTCCCCGCCGCCGCTGTCGCGGGCCCGGACACTTCGGGCGGGTCGGCGCTCGGCAGGCTCATCATCGTGCTCGAGGAGCATAGGGTTGAACTGGGTATCGAGCATTACTCCTGCACGCCGACGACGCTGGATCAGGTCTTCTTGGCGATCGTGGGGAGGCATGATGTTAGGGAGGAGGGGTACAATGAGAAGAAGAAGAGGAGTTGGTGGCGTTGGAGATAGGGGGGAGGGGGGGTATATTTAGAATTGGGTTTATGGGGTACATATGCTGTTTTCATGTCGGGGGATGGGTGTGCATATTACATGATATAGATGCGCGATCGTGCATGTCATAGGTATACGGGGGATATATCTGGAGTTGATCATATGGATGGATGGCTGATATACACTGCATGGAGGGGGAACGAACCGATGGGCTGGGGCTTAGGTTTACCTGTACCATACATAGGTTGATGATACCTTGTACTTGATATATGAGGACGATAATGGAATTCATGAAATGCACCGGTTGGTATAATTAACGGTGAATGACGCTCTTCGCTAGTAGTATAGTGTGCATTGAAGTAGTTCATAAGAATACTTTTAAGTTAGGTAGTTAAAGACCTTGGACCTTTTAGGAGTCTTACTTGACATTAGGTACTTTTAGTTATTCATAAGCTATGTTTTGTAATATCAGGCAAGGAAGAGGTGATCTTAGAAGGAGACCGTACGAGTAGCAGTGCAAGGCACTATGAAGATAGGTACCGACCGATCACTTCCATGAATTACGTGTTCCATTTCATAGCATTGGCTACATACGACCTCAAGTTAGCCGAGCAAAATGAGCGAGGTAAACAAAAAGTGACCGGTCCTATCTGATTTATTTCCTGTCACAATCTCTATATGAAACAAAGATAAATTTTACTATCTATTAAAGCACAGTACTCACTCCCTCGAGAATCTAAGGAGCAAGCTTTGCAGGTTTTGGAATAGAAAAAATATGTCAATCCGACGACTTATTAATTAATAAGTGCAGTATTTCCGATATGAAGAAATCGTCAAAAAGAAGGGTTTGACCGGGGATTGAACCCGGGACCTCTCGCATTTTCGATACATTAAATGTGTACCCAAAGCGAGAATCCTACCACTAGACCATCAAACCCGGCGCATTTTGGCACGTGTTCAACTGTGTTTTAAATAGGGTTATATAGTTAGTATGCACAGCTTCTTGGATTCCGGACTGCAAATTGAATTGGAAACCAAAAAAGGGACGGATCAATTTGTTTCTTTAAAAAGGAAAATACTCAATAATCAAAATGAAAATGAAAACAATCAAATAGAACCATCGCAGCATGTTGGTATTTTGAATGCCAGTTTGGTTCCTTCCTTGACAGAGCCTGTGTACCTAGGTACCTAGGTAGGTACCAATTTCCGCATTAGACGCGCTTTGCAAGTGAGATGAAAAGAGAAGACGAACCAAGTTTCCACAGAAGTCTTAATTGTATCATTCATAAATTAAGGTAAGCGTGTCAGAGCGTATTTGAGATTTAGCAAATGGTTTTGATTAATGGTTCACTGTTGTATTGGTGATTCGAGTCCCCAACCTATGAAGAACTGCTCCAAATTTACGGGTATCTTGCTCAAGAAACAGCCGCAAATATCTATGGTGTGTATGTGTGTATGTGTGTGTGTATGTGTGTGTGTGTGTGTGTGTGTGTGCACGAAAGGATTATGTTAAGACGGTCTACGAGCCTGCTGTCTGCTCTTGTAACCAAATAGCAGCCAATTCCTCCCCTTTGCCACCAAGTTCAAAGTCACCCGTATTCAACCCAGCATCCTCAACTTGAATCCTCCTATCGACCTCGTCGTCGAAGCTGCTGGAATCGCCATCCCAGTTAGAACTACCTTTCCTCTCGGTATCATAAATGCCATTGCGCAAACCTTTGACGAGATGTTTGGCTTGGGATTCGAAGTTGTTCCCTGGATACTTTTTGCGCTTTTGCCATCTCCTGTGGATTGAGCGTGAGCGCGGCGATAGAGGCGTTGTAGTATGTAATAATAACGTCTCTGGAATTATTAGCTTCTTAGTCCCCAACTCTGGCTTCGGCGGAAACACAACTCGATGCTGTTGCGGTGACTCTATAGGGAACCATTTGAGTATGTCTTCCGGTGGGGGGGATTGGTTGCAAGCGAGGGCTGACGCGTCAAATGCCGCTGGTACGTAAAGTCCTGGACTGCAAAAAAACAAGGAAGGACTTGCGAAGTGATCGAAGAGGTTATCAGGTATCTGAAACAACGCTTCAACGTGCTGCTTCAGGTCCTGGAAGTCGGGGCCCCCTTGTTGATTTATGATATCCTCGGGGACTTCCTTCAATTCTTTATGAATCTTGTGATCGGGGAGAAAAGTAGTCCAGTCGTATATCCCATTGAATGCGGCGACTCCCCGAATAGCCATCTGCTCGTCGGGGTAGGTTTCGGTTAGAGCCAATGATGTTGCGAGTGATGCGCCGAGGTAAGAACCGTAGACGTATATGTCCCGGCGCATTTGATCCGATGGGCTGAGATTTTTTACAATCCAACTGTACGCCTCTGCAGTGTCGTGGATAGGAGTTGGCCAGGCTAGATGGGATGGTTCATCCTCATCCTTTCCCTTCTCCCCCTCTCCCTCCTGCTTGTTAACCTCCGGGTGGCGGAAACCAGCCTCCGAAGGGACGAAGCCTTTCCAACGGTAATTTATTACGGCTGTTGGATATCTCTTGATAAAATTTGGTATATGTGTAGGTTTATCTGTAAAGGCCGTTGAGTACGGTGGCAGATATATCAATAAGGGGTCTGGCGATGAGATCTTGCTGATGTTATGTAGGCTACTCGTTTATTAAGTCATGGATTAGACAGATACTACTTCATCGTATACAACCTTTTTGGTTAACTTACTCAATGGTTACAATGCCTGATGAGCCATTGCGAACATTGACTCGTTCCACATCGTTGGCAAGAGCGCTAAAACACCTCGGCTTCTGGGCACGAAGGCCTAAAAATATCGAACTTCTACTCAGGATCCATCTTCCCATCTTTCCTCTATGGTTTCATATCTATGAAACATCGAATCGACTAAAAATGTAGTTGATCGTATGGTAACAAACAATGGTGTGGGATGAAGTTTTCTCAAATATACCTAAGTGTGTATATGAGTTCGTATGGGATCACGTGTGTTAATAATAGTAAAAGACCGTTTGGAGGTTGTTGAGGATATTTCAAGGCATCGAGCGATGAAAAAAAAATTAGGTGACATTGAGATCGGTGGTTCCAGACCTTGTACCGGCTTTAGTGAGGGGTTTAGCGTGCAGGGTGTCAATCATCCCGCATTCCCAGCATATTGTTTACGCCCCCGGTCATATGGAGTAGATCCGGACTCCATTAGAATAGTTCCGCGATTGAATGCCAAGCGACGTCATTCCACATTAACATTGATAGATCCACATCAGGATACGCCGCCTGACCCTCCCTTTGTCTACCTGTTATCGTTTATCGTTTATGTTCTTATACATTTTTAGCTTTGAACATATTCGTCTCAATCATGGAAACAATCAAAGATTTTGGATATCTGATTCTATCATATGCTCATCCCACTATCTTGTATATACTCTAAAATTATGTTGAACCTCCTTGTCCTTACCTCGGTTTAACTGGGCACATGGATCAACTCGGAAATCTTTCTCGGCCTCTCCACGAACTTATAAACCATCCGAGTTCTTAGGCATAGAGCATAGGCATATGTCTATCTGGTCGTCGACATGGATGATGGAGATCTTGGTAATAACATCGATGAGCAAGCTCAAATCATCGACGATCCCGAACGCGATAAGGTCGGCCAACATGGCCCCATGAATGATCAGATTTTTCTCGATCCTAGGTGAAGATCAAATGCCGTTATGTTCCATATGATAAGGTCAAGGCTGACCAGTTTCATCCAAATGTAGCCGTTGGTGGTTCGCTTCAGCAGCGTTTCCTATGATAGCTGGCACGCTGGGTCCTGTAGCTTCAGCTTTCAGTATTTGTGCGCTTGTCAGAAATTGGAGGCAGTGGATTCCACCAGGATCCGATGTCACGCAGGCCGTTTTTATTCAAGATCCCGTCTGGCTTTTGGCCGTGAACGGTGTCCAACTAGTTATTGCTCTAGTTGCCAATGTGTTCCTCTTGCTGAACATGACCAAGAGAGTACGGTTCTCTATAGCTCAGCCTGTGACCATAGCTGGCTGGTACATATCAGCAATTTGTCTCATAGCCTTATGTGCCACGGCATCAGGTCCTCTCGAGATTCAACCTGAAATCGAATATGTCTGGTCTCAAGCTTTTTACTACGGCATGTACGCGGCTATCATCTACTTCATAGTCGCGTCTCTCATGGTCGTAACCGTCTGGGGTGCAGAGGCCGGCCACTACGACAAGGATTTTGAGTTGACGCCCAGTCAGAGGACCTTGATGCTTCAAACCATCCTCTTTCTCATGTACCTTCTCATAGGGGCCTTGGTTTTCTCCCAGATTGAGGGCTGGAGCTATCTCGATGCTGTATATTGGGCAGATGTCACTCTTTTCACAGTGGGTTTCGGCGAAATATCCCCACAGACTAGACTCGGCCGTGGCCTTCTCGTTCCGTATGCCTTAATCGGTGTCATCAGCCTCGGTCTAGTAATTGGTTCGATTCGAAGTATGATACTTGACCGCGGCAAGCACAGGCTCAACGCGCGGATGTTAGAACGGCAGCGACGTATGTCTATCCGGCACATGGTGCAAAAGGGAAACGCCGGTATGCTTGAACCGGTAGATGGCGAAGCACCGTATGCTTCTGCCAGAGCTCGTTGGACAGAATTTGAACGTCGGCAGAAGGAATTTCAACTGATGCGGAAGATTCAACGACAGGTATGTATGAATACACTACCCTGACCCGTAAGGCTCTTCTCCGGGCTATAATGTTGCATTTCCCTCCATTTTATCACTTGTTCTGTTTGTATACTGATCATGAGTAGTAAGTTAACAAATCCCGTTTTCATCTATGCTATGCTTGTAACAGGGGTTACTGCCTGAGAAGCTTAAAATTCCCCTTTCTCATGACATTATGAATGCATCTAGACAGCAAAATTTCCCAAGTTACAGCATGAAACTAACATGCAGCAGGGCATCTTCAAGGGAGCGATGGACTTCAATGGCAGTATCTTCAAGTACATGGATTGTACTCTGGCTCTTAGGCGCCAAAATCTTCCAGGAATGCGAGGCCCCATATCAGGGATGGTCCTACTTTGATGGCTTCTACTTCGCATTCACGGCCTTGACGACAATCGGATACGGCGATCTCACCCCGGTGTCTCCCTCGGCCAAGGTCTTCTTTGTCTTCTGGTCTCTCCTCGCCCTACCTACCATGACTGTTCTCATATCAAACGCAGGGGACACGATCGTGAAGGGCATCAAAGACGGGACGCTCCTGATCGGAAATATAACGATATTGCCTGGAGAGCACGGCTTTAGGAAGGAGGCGAAACAGTTTATCTCGAAGCTATCTTGTGGGTTTCTGTCTCTGGATACCGATATCGAAGAGACGCCTCCTGGTTTCCTGGGAGCGGCCAATGAGCATACAGACACCGACGAAGAAGACGAAGCAGACGAGGAGGCGGAGGAGGAGGCGGAGGAGGCGGCGGAGGAAGAGGAAGAAGAGAACGAACAAAGGAAATCTACTAACACGAGCGAGCTGAACAACACAGAAAGCGACCGTGGAGCCGAAGGGGACGTTGAGAAGGGAGAATCGGGACCGAAATCTGTGCCGACGATAAATGCCCCAGCCGAAAAATCCACAGCTGAGCGATCGTCTGCTGGAGACTTGAGATCGAGATCGAGATCCCCCGGGAAAGCGGCTTCGATAGCGAGAGAGAGCTTGCCTACCCAGCTACCCAAATCTCGCGCCGAATACCATCTCGTCCTAATCGACGAAATCTCGCGCGTGACTAAGCATTTGCGGCACTCGCCGCCACGCAAGTACACCTTTAAGGAGTGGTCAGTCAATTCCGTTTCGATTCGATTAATTCACCCCCCTTCCCCTCCAACAGATAGGCGTTATTTACCCCTCAACGACCCCGCCGTGAGACGTTTCTTCCTCTCTTTTTTTTTTGG